ATTCTTTTTACACAGAGGGTCGTTTGCCTGTGGAATGAACTTCCTGATGAAGTGTTGGATGCGGGTACAATTACAACATTTAAAAAGACATTTGGATGGATAGATGAATTGGAAAGGTTTGGAGGATATAGGCCAGGAGCAGACAGGTGGGACTAGTTCAGTTTGGGGTTATGTTCGGCATGGACTGATTGGACCGAAGGGTCTGTTTCCGTGCTGTATGACTCTATGACTCTACTACAGTCACGTGTAAATAAAGGGTGACTTGGTGATGGGACACCAGCCTCTGTAGAGTTATTTCAGCTACATTACCTAATACATGAGTTAGCGGGAATGAAAAAGGAGCCACGGAAAATCAAAAAGTAATGCTTGAAAAAATTCCGAAGAAGAGCCCCACCCAATTTTTTTGTGTTCTGAAATCTATCCATGCTTGGGTATCAATAAAAAGTGGCCCACCAAAGATAACAAGGTGTAGAGCTGGATGAACACAGCAGGCCAAGCAGCATCAGAGGAGCAGGAAGGCTGACGTTTTGGGCCTAGAAACTTCATCAGAAGTGGGGGAGGGGAAGGGGGTTCTGAAATAAATAGGGAGAGAGGGGGAGGCGGATAGAAGATGGATAGAGGAGAAGATAGGTGGAGAGGAAACAGACAGGTCAAAGAGGCGGGAATAGAGCCAGTAAAGGTGAGTGTAGGTGGGGAGGTAGGGAGGAGATAGGTCAGTCCATAGAACATAGAACATTACAGTGCTGTACAGGCCCTTTGGCCCTCGATGTTGCGCCAACCTGTGAAACCAATCTGAAGCCCATCTAACCTAAACCATTCCATTATCATCCATATGTTTATCCAATGACCATTTAAATGCCCTTAAAGTTGGCGAGTCTACTACTTTTGCAGGCAGGGCATTCCATGCCCTTACTTCTCTGAGTAAAGAACCTATCTCTGACATCTGTCCTATATCTATCACCCCTCAATTTAAAGCTATGTTCCCTTGTGCTAGCCATCACCATCCAAGGAAAAAGGCTCCCACTGTCCACCCTATCTAATCCTCTGATCATCTTGTATGTCTCTATTAAGTCACCTCTTAACCTTCTTCTCTCTAACGAAAACAGCCTCAAGTCCCTCAGCCTTTCCTCATAAGACCTTCCCTCCATACCAGGCAACATCCTGGTAAATCTCCTCTGCACCCTTTCCAATGCTTCCACATCCTTCCTATAATGCGGTGACCAGAACTGTATGCAATACTCCAAGTGCGGCCGCACCAGAGTTTTGTACAGCTGCAACATGACCTCATGGCTCCGAAACTCAATCCCTCTACCAATAAAACCTAACACACCGTATGCCTTCTTAACAACCCTATCAACCTGGGGGGCAACTTTCAGGGATCTATGCACATGGACACCGAGATCTCTCTGCTCATCCACACTACCAAGAATCTTACCATTAGCCCAGTACTCTGTATTCCTGTTACTCCTTCCAAAGTGAATCACCTCACACTTTTCTGCATTAAACTCCATTTGCCACCTCTCAGCCCAGCTCTGCAGCTTATCTATGTCCCTCTGTAACCTGCAACATCCTTCCGCACTATCCACAACTCCACCGACTTTGCTGTCATCCGCAAATTTACTAACCCATCCTTCTATGTCCTCATCCAGGTCATTTATAAAAATGACAAACAGCAGCGGCCCCAAAACAGATCCTTGAGGTACACCACTAGTAACTGAACTCCAGGATGAACATTTCCCATCAACCACCACCCTCTGTCTTCTTACAGCTAGCCAATTTCTGATTCAAATCCAGGGAGGACGGACAGGTCAAGGGGGCGGGGTGAGGTTAGTAGGTAGGAGATGGGGGTGCGGCTTAAGGTGGGAGGAGGGGATAGGTGGGACTTGGCCTGCTGTGTTCATTCAGCTCTACACCTTGTTATCTCAGATTCTCCAGCATCTGCAGTTCCTACTATCCCTGGCCCACCAGAGAGACAGGAAGAGGGAAGGATGCACAATGGATGAGCGTAGCAGAAGTTGGGATGGACTAGAAAGAAATGGATAGAAACTGGGAATGGAAAGAATGCATGAGTCACAGAATGGGACAGTTACAGAGTGAAAATATGTGATAACATGTCAGCCTTGACCATAAGTTTTTTTATTGATCTTTATCATACAGTTCTTAACTGTTCTTTGCATATAAACACTGAAGACAAGATTTTCCAAATAGATTATTGCACAATGCATGTTTTCAGTCTGACAAGCAAACCTGCAGGAACGTGCCAGGGGCAATGATAAGTGTAAACATCTCTAAACAAGCTATTCCATCTTAACTAAGGTTTAGTTGCTGATAAACTGCAACAAAGGTGAGCACACAGCCTACTCATACTGAAGGCTCGCAGCTTGAAGATTAAGACAAATAGGGAGACTAAGAAAAGGAAAATGAATATAAGCAAATAACTATTTTTGATACTTCTTATATACGTTTCTTTCCTGAATGCAACACCTAGTGTTGGGACACATCTCATGCAGACATCAGGCACATGACTTCCACTAGTTCACACCTCAATGCCTTTCATGTGGTGTTTCAGACACTGAGTAGGGCTGGATCATTCAATCACTACTGAAAGTGAAGGTAAGTGTTACAAGAAAGTCCACTCCTGTCCTCTCCTCATGTTAACACATTCACTTCACAACGGAGGATGCTCATTCTTACAACTGTGGTTGTGGTGTTGGAGATCAGTCATCTCAGCTCCAGGACACTTCTGCAGCAATTCCTTGGGGTAATATTCTAGGCCCAACCATCTTCAGCTGCTCTTTCAAATCACCTTCCTTCCAGCATAAGGTCAGAAATGGGGGAATGTTCGCCGATGATTGCACAATGATCAGCACCATTTGTGACTCCTCAAATGCTGAAGCAGTCCATGTTCAAACGCACTAAGATCAGGACAGTATCCAGGTTTGGGCTGACAAATGGAAAGTAACATTCATGCAACACAATGACCATATCCTATAAGAGATGATCTAGCCACAGACCCTTGACATTCAACCATCACTGAATCCCCCACTATCAACATCCTGAGGATTACCATTGACCAGAAACTACACTGGCCTCACCACATAAACACAATGGCTACAAGCACAGGTCAGAGGCTAGGAATAATCCAATGAGTAACACACCTCATGACTCCTCAGAGTCTGTCCAATATTTACAAGGCACAAGTCAGGAGTGTGATGGAAACCTTCCATTTGCCTGGAGGGGTGCAGCTCCAACCACACTCAAGAAACTTGACAACATTCAGGACAAAGCAGTCCACCTGACTGGCACCGCATCCATGCCCTCCACCACCAACGTTCAGTCGCAGCAGTGTGTACTATCTACAAGAAGCACTACAGAAATTCACCAAAGCACCTCAGACAGCACCTTCCAAACCCACAGCCATTTCCATCTAGAAGGACAAGGGCAGCAGATACATGGGAACATCACCACCTGCAAGTTCCCCTCCAAGCCACTCACCATCCTGACTTGGAAATATATCACTGTTCCTTCATTGTCACTGGGTCAAAATCCTGGAATTCCCTCCCTATGTGCATTGTGGGACAGCCTCCAGCAGGTGGGCTGCAGCTGTTCAAGAAGGCAGCTCAACTCCACATTCTCCAGGGCAACTTGGAATGGTCAATAAATGCTGGCCCAGCCAGCGAAGACTATGTCCCACGAGTGATTTAAAAAAATCGCCCTCCTATTCATCTGAATTTGATGATCCTTTTATCTTCAATACTTTTCACTTTCTTGGGCTATTTGGCCCAGTGTTAATACTGAATGGACTCCACCAGGGAAAGCTATATAGAAGAAGTGTCCTGAATTATTTTAATAATCTCATTATATTCTGAACACAATTAGTTCCAGTTCCTCCACAAGGCTATTTAATGCCTGCCAGTCAAACATGGTTGAATTATACAGGGGAGAGGACAAGGTTAATACTTACCATGTAATACAAAACACAACCAAAGGGCTCTGTGGTGCAGTGGTAGTGTCCCTACCTCTGAGCTAGAGGCCCCATGTTCAAGTCCTACATGTTCCAGAGGTTTGTAATGATATCTCTTTTGATCAGGAATTTACCTACAAAACCCAATGATGCTTGACAGCGAAACAAACAAATTAAACCTAACTGTGTCCTGCTCATTTTATTAAAGTAAGTTTATTTTATTGTAAGCTGGGAATTCAGGATAAGTATTTAAGAACAGCTGAAAAGAGACAGAAGTGGCAGGATCAGAGCAGAGGAACTCGGATTAGATTTCATTTGGATAGACCCTATCCTTAGTCAGAAACAATAACAGAAGTTGCTGGAAAAGCTCAGCAGGTCTACCAGCATCAGTGAAGATAAAATCAGAGTTAACGTTTCAGGTCCGGTGACCCTTCCTCAGTTCTCCGATTTTTCTTCACAGATGCTGCCAGACCCGCTAAGCTTTTCCAGCAACTTCCGTTTTTGTTTTTGATTTACAGCATCTGCAGCTCTTTTGGTCCCTATCCTTAGTCATCTAGCCAAGTACTGAGGATGCCAGATATTGTGTTAAGCTATGACAGCCCTCTCCCCATCCTACACGTGGTTCAAAAGTGGAGTTGGCAGTGCCAAGGACAGTGCCCACCTTATTCCTTCAAGGAATGCAGTTCGCTGCAGCTGATACAAGGGGCAGAAAAACTAGTGATTACTTTCTTTGGCCAGCTGGTTATTTGATTCTTGAAGAAACCCAGTTTAGTTTTTAATAGTCTCTGAGCTGTACTAGAGCTTCCCTGACAAAAAATATGCACACCTCACGACCAACCTAGTCACAGAGAGTTGATGCACAGTTTGGCAAAGCTACTGTTAATAAAACACTAAAATGAATTAGGCCCTACGAACATCTCAATGATGGTGGATTTTAGCATACAAGCATCTTCAGGCAGACACGCTGAGCGGTACCTTTCACAGTTCCATCCTGATGTCCCCATCCCACTCCTGGTGTATTGGCGTAATCACTTACCTGGAATGGAATTCTGGGACCTCTTGTAATGGCTGCTCCTCAATTATGTCATTAGACAATGACATTTTGTGTAACTGGGTTGGTAAAGATTGTGGATGGTTTCCTATGGGACTGTATGTGCCACCAGGTATCATAGACACCTTCCTGTTTTTCTTTCTTGGCAGTGTGCCATGAATGGAAATACTCTGGATTGAGCTGGAAAGCTGACTGGTGAGAGTGTCTCTGATATTGAGCACGTCCATCGAAGATTGGAGCAAGCCCTTACGACTGGCTTGGATCTTACGAGGTAAGCTGGCATAGTTTCCTGCAGCCATCATCTTCAGCTCTGCATTTAGAAAGACAAGCAGACACCATTAACAAACCAGGCAGCAGTTAATTAATACACAAAAAAAGCTATTAAGACTTCATGCCAATTAGAGCCCATTAGTGACATCTAACAGCAATGATGAACAGCTCACTCTACAAATGATCTTTGAGTAACTCCAAAAGATCTGACAATTTTTGAAATCTGACTTGGCAAGAAGTTCAGAAGTAAGGTTTGACAGCGATGATTTGGTTCTGTTCTGCCAGTCTGGGTCATCGGAGTTAGACCTCTTTATGTTCCTGCTCTATCCAATCAATAGAAATATCTTTTTGTTTTAAAAAGAAAGGTCCTCTACACTTTGCTCCTCTTCCAGGGGTAGAGTTTTGACATTTTGACATTTTCTCCATTGGCCATCACTGGCCTGAGCATATCTAGAGCAAGAATTGATGGTGGGTGTTGTGAAGTTGACTAAACTGCCCTGGAGTCTCCAGCAATTCAAGGTGCATTTCCCAGACACTGCTGGAAACAATTTGTGTTAAAAATTGTGTGTTTGTGGCGTTCTCTCTAATTGACTGCATTGGTTTATAAATATAAATGTATATAATTTCAAATGGTATCGCTCAGAATCACTGAAGTATTACAGTGCAGAAGGAAGCTATTTGGCCCATTGTGCCTACACTGGCTCTCCAACAAGTTTTATGACTTAATGCCATTCTCCAGCTTTTTACTCCAGACCCTTGCACACTGTTCCGATTCAAATAACCATCCAATGCCCTCTTGAATGCTTCAATTCCTCCACTACATTTCCAGGCAGTTCTCACATCACAATCGCTTCTTTTCCAATCACTTTAAATCTGTGCCCTCTCATTCTTGATGTCTTTCTGAGTGGGAAGTTTCTCACTATCTACTCTATCCAACCCCCTCCTGATATTGAAACTCCTTATCTCCAAGAAGAACAGTCTCAACTTAGAATCATAGAATCCTGACAGTGTGGAAGCAGGCCATTCGGCCCTCTGAAGAGCATCCCATCCAGATGCACTCCATCTCTGTAACCCTGCATTTCCCATAGCTAATCCACCTACCCTGCATATCTCTGGACACTATGGGTAATTGAGCATGGCTAATCCACCTAACTTCTCCAACCTATCCTCATAACTGAGAATTTTCATCCCTGAAACCATTCTTTTAAATCCCTTCTGCACTCTCTCCAATGTGATCACAATCCTTCCAATAGTGCGGCACCCAGAACTGAACACAATACAAGTATCTTAAACAAGTCATCACCTCCTTGCCCTTGTACTCTATGCTCCTATTAATCACTCTGAGGGCTCTGTGCGCTTTATTAATCACACTCTCCAACAATCCTACCACCTTCAATGAATGTGCAGATATACACTCAGATCGCTCTGCCCCTACACTGTCTCTGGAATTGTGCCCTATATTTTATATTGTTTCTCCATGTTCCTCCCACCAAAGTGTATCACCTCACACTTCTCTGCATTGATCTTCACCTAGCACCTATCCACACCACTCTAAAACTCACACCTCGAAGACAAGAGGCACTTCAGGGCTTCCCAAACATAACATCGACCCCAGCCAAACTGAAACCAGGTTTTCGCCTTAATGACTACTGACCAACAGCACTGACTTCAATAATCATGAAGTGCTTCGAGAGGCTGGTGATGGCCCACATCAGCTACAAACTCCCAACCTGCCTCAATCCCCTTTACCTACTGACATAACCGGTCCACTGAGAATGCCATATCCCTAGCCTTACGCTCATCCCTGGAACATCTGGACAACAAAGACATCCGTATCAGACTCCTGCTCGTTGGCTACAGCTTCACCCTCCACACCATTATCCCCTCCAGACTGATCTCAAACTGCGTGACCTTGGTCTCAGTTCTGTCCTCTGCAATTGGATCCTCAGATTTCTGACCTACAGACTGCAATCAGTGAGGATAGGTAACTGTACCTCCTCCACAATAATACTCAACACTGCATGCTTCCTCAGCCCCCTACTGTACACTCTGTACACACACGACTGTGTTGCTAAATTCCGAATGGACACCTTCTACAAGTTCGCTGACAACACCACCGTAGTGGGATTGATATCTAACAACGATGAGTCAAAATGCAGAAGGGAGATAGAGAGCTTGGTGACTTGGTACAATGAAAACAATCTGTCTCTCAATGTTGGCAAAACTAAAGAACTGATCATTGACTTCAGACTATATCAACGGAAGTGAGGTTGAGAGAACGAACAGCATCAAGTTCCTCGGAGTGACGATAACCGATGACCAGACCTGGACTTCCCATGTAGATGCAACAGTCAAGAAGGCACAACAATGCTTCTTCTTTCTCAGGCAGCTCAGGAAATTTGTTGTGTCCATAAGGTCCCTTACCAACTTCTACAGATGCACCATTGAAAGCATACTGTCCGGGTGCATAACGGCCTGGAATGGCAACTGCTCTGCCCAGGACCGTAAGAAACTATAGAAGGTTGTGTGCACAGCCCAGACCATCACAGAAGCCAACCTTCTATCCATGGACACTATTTACATGGCTCATTGCTGCGGAAAGGCGGCCAACATCATCAAAGACCTATCACACGCCGGTAATGATCTCCTAAACCTCTTCTGTCAGGCAGAAGATACAGAAGCCTAAACACATGCACAAGCACGTTCAGAAACAGCTTCTTCCTGGTGTTATCAGACTGTTGAATGGACTGTAGCCTCCAGTAATGTAACCTGCAATGTAACCTGTATGCTTCTCAGTCTTTTTGGGATCTGTACATCCTTTGCTTGCTGTGATCTGCCTGTACCACTTGTAAACAAAGCTTTTCACTGTATTTTGGTACACATGACAATAAAATCAAAATCAAATCAAAATCAAAAAGAGTTTGAGACAATAAGGTGCAGAGCTGGATGAACACAGCTGGCCAAGCAGCATCGTAGGAGCAGGAAGGCTGACGTTTCGGGCCTAGACTCTTCATCAGAAATGGGGGAGGGGAAGGGGGTTCTGAAATAAATAGGGAGAGAGGGGGAGGCGGATAGAAGATGGATAGAGGAGAAGATAGGTGGAGAGGAAACAGACAGGTCAAAGAGGCGGGGATGGAGCCAGTAAGGGTGAGTGTAGACTTTCCATATCAAGCAGATGTTCACCTGCACATCTGCTAATGTGGTATACTGTATCCGCTGTACCCGGTGTGGCCTCCTCTACATCGGGGAAACCAAGCGGAGGCTTGGGGACCGCTTTGCAGAACACCTACGCTCGGTTCGCAATAAACAACTGCACCTGCCAGTCGCGAACCATTTCAACTCCCCCTCCCATTCCTCAGACGACATGTCCATCCTGGGCCTCCTACAGTGCCACAATGATGCCACCCGAAGGTTGCAGGAACAGCAACTCATATTCCGCTTGGGAACCCTGCAGCCCAATGGTATCAATGTGGACTTCACAAGCTTCAAAATCTCCCCTCCCCCTACTGCATCCCAAAACCAGCCCAGCTCGTCCCCGCCTCCCTAACCTGTTCTTCCTCCCACCTACCCCTCCTCCCACCTCAAGCCGCAGCCCCATCTCCTACCTACTAACCTCATCCCGCCCCCTTGATCTGTCCGTCCTCCCTGGACTGACCTATCTCCTCCCTACCTCCCCACCTACACTCACCTTTACTGGCTCCATCCCCGCCTCTTTGACCTGTCTGTTTCCTCTCCACCTATTTTCTCCTCTATCCATCTTCCATCCGCCTCCCCCTCTCTCCCTATTTATTTCAGAACCCCCTTCCCCTCCTCCATTTCTGAAGAAGGGTCTAGGCCTGAAACGTCAGCTTTCCTGCTCCTATGATGCTGCTTGGCCTGTTGTGTTCATCCAGCTCTGTACCTTGTTGTCTCAGATTCTCCAGCATCTGCAGTTCCTACTATCTCAAAAAGAGTTTGTTTGCTTTCATATTGGTTTGGAAAGGTGATGTGTCGCAGGCTGTTGACCAATAATGGGAGATCCTGGAGGTCAGAGATCCTGGGACGTATTGGCTGACCAATGGTGACAAATGTAGAGGGGGGAAGAGAACAATGACCCTCCCATTCAGGGGGTTCTCACTGTGACAGACAAGGTCAACACAGCATGGTGCTGCAAATTCCAAGGGAACTGATACATAGTTAACGTGGGTGGCCATCTCCACATGTCATTGAGTTTTCAATCGGAATTCATTTCCTAACAACACTCTCAGAGTTACCCACATCAGCAGCTGTTCAAGAAGACGGCAACCATCTCCTTCTCAAAGGGCAATTAAGGATGGACAGCAAAGATTGGACTTATCAGTGACACCCACACCCCATGGATTAAGAAATAATGGGTAATAGCACAGCAGTCACAGCTTCCATCATTTAATCTCCACCCACCAGCAACAAATATTTATGCAAGAGCTTTGAGAATATGAACACTGTGTTGATATTCCTGGTAACTGTGCTAAATGATTATTTTTCATCTTTGAGTCCAGACAATTTCTACCAGTGGGCTAATCAACTGTGAAAGTAGCACAGTTAAACCTGGCTCGACATATCTCCTAGCTTTCAACATTTACTGTGAGTGTAAGAACTACATGACTTTTAGCTTCATTCTTTCAGTGGTTCTCAGGCTGCTGGGGTCCTGAGCAGATTGTCATTGATAATGAAACACTTGCCTTAGTGATCAGGAGTGAGGTGCACCAATAACTTTCCTTCTGCCACACAAGTGGTTATAGAGACAGAAGTAGATTATTCAGCCCTTGAGTGAATTTGGCATTCAATTGGGACATCTGCTTCTTAACTCCATTTATCTGTCTTAGCTCCATTTCCTTGCCTGACAAAATAATTATTATTCATCTCAGTTTTTAAGCACTCATTTGACCCACAGGCCAACAGCCTTTCTGGAGGAGAGATCATTCAGCATAGTCTCCTATAGGATTGGCAAATCAAGCACAGGCCAGGAGTGAAACCTTCTTGGATTGCAAGGCTCAGTAGTCCCTCAGACAATGGGTACACACACCTATGGTAATCATAAAGTCATAGTCATACAGCATGGGAACTGAGCCTTCAGTCCAATTAGTCCACACCGACCATATTCCCAAGCTAAAGTGGTCCCACTTGCCTGCATTTGGCCCATATTCCTCCAGACCTTTCCTATTCATGTACTTATCCAAATGTCTTTTAAATGTTTTAACTGTACCAGCATCCACTACTTCCTCTGCCCGTTCATTCCACATATGAACCACTCTGCCCTTCATGTGTTTTTTAAAACTTCCTCCTCTCACCTTAAAAACTATGCTCCCTTGTTTTGAATTCCCCCAACCTAGGGAAAAGACCCTTACTATTCGCCTTATCCATGCCCTTCATGATGTTATAAACCTCTATAAAGGTCACCCGTCAACCTCCTATGCTCCAGTGAAACAAGTCCCAGCCTATCCAAGACAACAAGGTGCAGGGCTGGATGAACACAGCAGGCCAAGCAGCATCATAGGAGCAGAGAGGCTGACGTTTCGGGCCTAGACCCTTCATCAGAAAAGGGGTTGAGATCCTTCAGAAAAAAAGTTCCTACTATCTCTGATTCGATTTTAACCCCAGCCTATCCAGCCTATCTTTATAGCTCAAACCCTCCATTCCTGGCAACATCCTGGTAAATCTTTCCTGAACCCTCTCTAATTTGATTGGAGTTCCAGTTCTGAGGAAGGGTCACCGGACCTGAAACATTAACTCTGTTTGCTCCTTCACAGATGCTGCCAGATCTGCTGAGCTTTTCCAGCAACTTCTGTTCTTGTTCCCGATTTACAGCATCTGCAGTTCTTGCGGTTCCAGTTTAATAGTATCTGTCCTATGGCAGGAGGAACAGAACAGGACACAGTATTCCAGAAGAGGCCTCACCAATGTCCTGTATAACCTCAAAATTTCTTTCCAACTCTTATACTCAAAGGTCTAAGGATTGAAGGCACGCGTGTTAAATGCCTTCTTGACCACTTTGTGTACATGTGATGCATATTTCAAAGAATTATGTACCTGAACCCTTAGGTCTCTTACTTTAGCAAATCTGAATTTACTCCTTCGTTAACTGTGTTAATAGCCTTGCGTGTATTGGTTGGAATCTTGCTACATTGCAACCTCCCCAGAAGTGACACCATTACATCCTGCTTCATTCCAGAGGCAGTACGTTAAGATCTGTGATTCTAATTCTTAGATAATGGAAAAGTCGTAAAGGCAGGGATCAGTCTCCCAGACTCTGACCTCAGACATAGTCATTATAAAAGCAGCTTCCGTCTTTCTGAGAAATTAAAAGACAAATCAAATTATTTTGGAGCCACTTCATATAGAAAACACTGCATTTCTGGAATCTGTCTTTTGGATACATTAACTAACCACCTGCATCTTACCTAGACTTACAGCAAACTTTAAAACAATCAACCAGAGATCACGAGGTTATATTTAGAGAAACAGCTTACAGGATTCAATCACACCACATTTGCATCTCGCTCGTCACTGTAATCAGCATCAAGAGGAGATTCACACTTGATTTTTTTTTGCTGCTATTTAAAGTTCTGGCGCAGATTTTTATCATTATAGATGGGAAATAGACCAAACCTTCTTCACACCTATAAAGCGAATCACAGATAAGCTTAGTCAAAAGTGGGAAACAAATTGCCACCATTTTATAAGTTCAAGACAAAGTTCAGACTCTACAGCACTTCAACCCACACAAAGAACTGTTGCAAAAAGGCAATCCATTCTGTGCAGAACAATGTTGAGTGGAACAAAGTTTTCTATAGTGTCACACTGCAACCTACACTGCTGCTGCCTTTTCAAATTTAACTGGAGAAAAATGTCTCCCAAAAGTCTGAGCCTCTCACCAAATACTTTTATTTCTAAAATCAACCGCTTCCAGAAGGTTTCTGTAGGTTACACAACGTATCCAACAATATTTTAGAAACCACCTAGTCTCTTTGCAACAATCCATAAGACATCAGGTCTGCTTCCCCAGCCTCTGAAAGAAAACACAAATTGAAAAGCTTGAAGAGAATTAATCTTCATCAATGAAGCTGGAAAGCACAGACAACTCCGTCAAATACAGTCCAGGGATCCCCTCAACTATGTACTTGAGAGATTTCCCAGCACTACTGGCCAGAGGAGTGTCTAACTGACACACCAGTCACACAGCAGTGTCTCACAAAAAGGTTAAGCAGTTTGCACTGACAGAAAATTAAATCCAGGCTCTTTGAACATTAGACAATCATTTAGCCAGCCACATTCACAAGGCCATGGATGCAGGACATTAACCTGAACTATGACCTTCACCAGGATAAAGGATGTGGGCGACAATTATCACCAGAGGGTGCCTCACGTTAAGTCACTGACAATCACTTTTTATCTTTTACTGAATGTTAATGTGGGAACAAAAATACAGGACAAGATTTTACAATGCTTCAATGCGCTCACAAGTTAAGCTAGCAAATAATGGTCACTTTGAGGTATGTGCTGAAACAGAGCAATTATGGAGAACTATGTAGAAAGCAGCAGTCAAAATGAAAATATTTGTGTCTCAAAGTAGCAACCTTTAAGCCATCATCTTTCAACAGCCCACAGCTCCTGCACAATGTGCTTTAAATTAACTATCTAAAGAGAAAACAGATGGGTCCTTCATTGGCAAAGACATTGTGGGACATAAAGTTAACAGGAGCTTTCAACAGCAGCTAACTTGAGAACCAATACCGACCTACCTCGAATAAATGGTGAGAGCTTTTCTTTTCAATGGAATTCCGTACACTGATTCCAGTGTCTTTCACACAACCAATGCTGTGTCTGCACAGCAAGATGAGCCTGGGGCTCTCTGCCAGATTACACATCAAAGCACTGAAGAATTATTTATGAAGTTCTGTTTCCCTTTTTACAAAAGCTCCCTCACCATCCCTCCATCTCTCCCTCCCTCTCCACAATCACAGATCCAAAGTTGCTGCTGCTGCCGGTGCGGAGCACAAACTTCTAAGAGGCAGGGCTCTGACGTCTGCGTTACTGCTTCCCAGCCACACCCCAGTGTGGGCACTGAGGAACCCAGTCAGAGCTGCGCATCTGACCAGCAATCACTATAAATCCATTAGCTTGTCACTGAACTTACTCAAACCATACTGCACCATTCCACAAGCAGTTAGGGCCCTGCCTGTTTTGATAAAAGCAATAAAGACTGGCCTCATGGCACCTACAGGAAGAAGGCTCCAGAAGTACCATCCACCCCCACCTTCACTCTACCCACACCCTTTTAAAAAGGCACCATAAATGTAATTCAGATATAAAACCTAACTAACTGAAAAAGACCTATGAGGGGAGGGGGGGGGGTGCGGTGAGGAACGGAGCTGATGGCACAAACTGCATTGCTTTACAGAGCACTGGCAGGCTTTCAATAGGCTGAATGGTCTCCTGTGCCCTTTTGATTCTATTACACAATATCAACTATTTGTTTCTGGATCTGCATTGTGAAGAGAACGTCACTCCCCACTGCTTCTTGCATTTTGTCCTTGAAAGACAAGGCTTGCTGAAATCACTCCCCCTTGCTGCTTTTACAACTTTTTAATGAATAAGAACATTTTTAAAACAGTAAGAAACACACAGCTGGCAGCATAAACCAATGATATAGTACTGCCCTGGATTATTGAATGTTGAAGCGCAGTTCAAGGTTAATCAGCCCATCAATTCTGCACTAGCACCCCAACTCTCTTTAACGGAGGTTCCTGCTTCCTGAGGGCTTACTGTTGTGAGGGGCATTGCCAAGTGAAATAGTGAGTCATACAGGCCAGGAAAATCCCATGCTCCATTGCCAATCTGGGACAAGTTCAACAACCTGAGTTAAAGCACCAGCTTGGTTACTACTTCCTTCTGGGCCCTTGGATCACACGACCAGGGCAATTGGCCAGAGTTCATGCTCCTTCCAGCTGCTCAGTAACTGTGAGTGATAAGTAGAGCTCAGGGGTGCACCTCGCATGGTGAAGTGGTAGTGTTCCTATACTTGGACTGGAGGCCCAGGGTTAAGTTCCACCTGTTCCAGGGGTATGTAACCACATCTCTGAACAGGTTGATTAGAAAGATAGGTTAAAAACTAGAGATCAGCCAAGACAAAATTGGACTTAATTTTTATGGTTCCCATTGCAACAATGGTCCCCTGACACCAGGGCCTGAAATTATGTTTCTGTCCACAGTCACAGATTCAAAGTTATTGCTATGGTACTGGTAGTCTTATCAGCATTCAACACACAATGAGTATGAGCATACTCATGGCTCAGTATGTCACCAATTCTGCCAATACCATCCAGTGAGGCCATCAAACTGGTTCAATGGACAGGAGGGCATGCCAGGAGCAGCACCAGGTCTAGGTAAAAGTGAGAGATAGTAAGAGCCACAGATGCTGGAGTCTGAGATAACACAGTATGGAGCTGGAGGAACACAGCAGGCCAGGCAGCATCAGAGGAGCAGGAAAGTTGACGTTTCGGGTGAGGACCCTTCTTCAGAAATGGGGAAGGGGGAAGGTGGCTCTGAAATAAAGAGAGGGAGGAGGGGTGGGATGGTGATAGGTGAGTGCAGGTAGGGAGTAGTGGGGATTGGTCCATGAGGTGGGAGGAGCGGATAGGTGGGAGAGAAGATGGACAGGTCGAGGTGGCAGGGATGAGAGGGAAATTTTGAAGCTAGTAGTGTCCACATTGAGACCATTGGGTTGTAGGCTCCCAAGGCAGAATATGAGGTGCTGTTCCTGCAGTTTCTGGGTGGAGTCGTTGTGACACTGGATGAGGCCCTCCTCTACATTGGTGAGACCTAACCAAGCTGTCCCAGTGCACTTACAACACTGGGATATACCCTAGAATATAGAAAATTATCCAGATGTTTCATGGCCACAGAAGTAAGACTAATCGAATCCAGCCAATTACCACCCTATCAGTCTACTCTAAATCATCAGTAAAGCGATGGAAGGTGACATTAACAGTGATACCTACATAAAAATAATCCACTCACTGATGCTCAGTTTGGGTTCTGCCAGGGGATCTGGCCTCTTGAAGTAATTATAACATGGCTTTTTTTATTTACCCATGGAACGTGGACATCACTGGTTGGCCAGCATTTATTGCCCATCCCTAGTTGCCCTTGAGATGGTGGTGATATGGTGTCTTCTTGAACCACTGCAGTCCACAGGGAGGGAATTCTAGAATTCTGACCCAGCGACAGTGATGGACTGGCAATACATTTCCAAGACAGGATGGTAAGTGGCTTGAAGGGCAATTAGCAAGGGGTGGTGTTCCCATGTACCTGCTGCCCTCGTCCTTCTAGATGGAAGGGTCTTTGGTGAATTTCTGCGCTGCATCTTATAGATGGTATGCACTGCTGCACTGACTGTAAGGGTTGGAGGGAGTGGGTATTTGTGGATGTGGTGTGAATCAGTCGGGCTGCTTTGTTGAGTGTTTTTGAGTGTTCTTGGGGCTGCACACATCCAGGCAAGTGGAGAGAATTCCATCACACTCCCGACTTGTGCCTTGTAGATGGTGGACAGGCTTTGGCTAGTCAGGAGGTAAGTTACTCGTCGCAGTATTCCTAGCCTCTAACCTGCTCTTGTAGTCACTGTGTTTATGTGGCAAATCCAATTTAGTTTCTGGTCAATGGTAACCCTCCGGATGTTGATAATGGGGGATTCAGTGATGGTAAAACCCTTGAATGTCAAGGGGCAGAGGTTAGATTGTCTCTTATTGCTGATGTTCATTGCCTGACATTTGTGTGTCACTTGTCAGCCCAAGCACGGATATTTTCCAGATCTTTGTTGCATTTGTACATGAACTGCTTCAGGATGGTCCAAACATATACAGAATACTAAATTCCAGAGGCAAGTGGAGAGTATATATGACATTTGACGTCACTGCATATGAAATCAAGGCAGCATTTAACTGGATATAGCATCAAGGAGACCTGGAAAAATTGCAGATAATGGGAAGCAAAGGGAAAATTCTCCACTCGTTGGAGTCATATCTGGTACAAACATCTCAGTCCCAGTACATCGCCTCATGGAATTCCATGGGGTAGACATTTTCTATCCAAACCGTTCAGTGATGTTATTAGACACCTCTGGCACAGATGGGGCTTGAACTTAGGCCTCCTGGCTCAGAGATAGAGTCACTACCACTGTTCCACAAGAATCCCAGGGCAATGTCCAGTATTCAAACATTTTGAGCTGCTTCATCAATAACCGCCCAACACTAAGGTCAGAACAGGGGATGTTCTTTGTCGATTGCACAATATTCAGCATCACTCACGACTCCTTAGATACGGAAGCCATTCATGTCCATGTGCTGCAAGATGTAGACAATATTCAGGCTCAGGCTGATTAAGTAGCAAGTAACTTTTACAAGTCATATTTTGTGCCTTGCAATGACCAAGTCCAACAAGTGAGAACCTAACTAACTCCTCTTGAATTTAAATGGTATTATTGTTGCTCAATTCCCCCAACATCAACCTCCTGGGTGTTACCATTGACCAGAAATCTAACTGGATCATATCATTACTGAATCTACAAGAGCAGGTGAGAGGCAATGAATCCTACAGCGAGTAACTCAACTCATGACTCTTAAAATCTGTCCATGGGGCACAAGTCAAGACTGTAATGGAATACTCTCCACTTGACTGGTTGAATGCTCCTCTAACAACACTCAAGAAATTCAACGCCATCTAGAATAAAACAGCCAGCTTGATTGGAGCCTCATCTTGATTGGAGCTTCATCATTCAGCACCTCCAACACTGATGAATGGGTGCAATGTACAAGATGCATTGGTACTTTCACTTTCTAAATAGATTATTAAGAACAAAAACTGGAAAGTTATGCTTGACCTTTGGAAGGCTCTGGTTAGTTCTTGTCAGCACACTTAGGGAAGGATATGAGGATTCAGAAAGGATCCAGACATGATTTTCCAGAATGGTTCCAAGGATGAAAGGCTTTCGTGACAACAGTGGGTTATTTTTACTTGATCACAGGATGTGGGTGTCACCGGCTAGGCCAGGATTTATTTGTCTATCTCAGAGGGCAGTTAAGAGTTAACAACATTGCCGTAGGTCTGGAGTCACATGTAGGCCAGATCAGGTGAGGATGGCAGATTTCCCTCCCTAAAAGACATTATTAAATGACGTAACAAGGTGCAGAGCTGGATGAACACAGCAGGCCAAGCAGCATCAGAGGAGCAGGAAGGCTGACGTTCCTG